TGATCATTTTACAATGAATAATTTTACCTGTCCTTTCAGACATTGCCTCTGCCCTGGATTATTTCACAGCTGGAGATTTTTGCCTGCTCTGCTAGCTTCTCCTCACAATGTACACATTCTCACCCTCACCGTATGTCACCGTATGTCACTCTGGCTTACAGTCTGCCATGACAATCATGTTGGTATACCCAGTGGCTACTTTACATTTCTCTCAGTTTCTCAACAGAATCTGACATAGTTCGCGCCACTCTTTTGGTGTAAGTCTTTATTCTGTAGGCTTTCTCGAGACTTCAACACCAATTTCTCCTGGATTAACTGTTCCTTCTTTCTTTTGTTCCTTGTCTTCTTATCAAGACCTCCATTTTGGCTTACAGGTAAAGCATCCCCCTAAACTCATGCACTGAAGCCTCAACTCCAGCCCAGCATTATTGAGGGAAGTGACGTCAGATGGACTCCTGGAAGATGGTTCCTAGGTGGAGGAAAAAGATCACTGGCTCTGAGACTTGAAGCAAACTTCTCCTCTCGGCTTCTTCCCCTTTCCCTGTTCCTTGGCCACTTGTGAGCTAAAATAAACCCTTTACCTTTTCAATTCTTTTTCAGCTATTTGAACATGAGGTGCAAATCTGCCTAAAACAACCTTTAAAAATACATGCTTGCTGTGGTACTCAACACCCCCTGCTTTTTTTACATTTTATCTCATGTAAACTTAACCTTTTAAAGCGATGTATAAACTGATGAATTTCTAATATGTCTCACAAGTCAAGGATTCTCCCCACCTGTGATTTACTGAATCAATGACTTCTGTATTTCAGTATTGAACACAGTTCAAAAATTGACAAATCACCACTAAACATTGTTAATTCCTCCAGTCTCCTTCCTTCAGGTCTCCTTCTAACATTAAATCAATCAGTGGTTTGGGTTTTTACTTGTCTCGGTCACTAAAGTTAGGCCCACAGCAATGAAGTCAAATGGCTAACTGTTTCAGGAAGTAAATGATTTCACTTTCTGAAGATAATTGTAACACAACCCGAGATACAGGTAATGAGCTATTTTTAATCATACAGTGGGAAACTCAGACAATACTTATGACCATTAATTCTACATTTCCATATTTTTACTCTAAGCCCTAAATATTTATGTGATTATCATTGCATTGTCATCTTTGATGGTTTATATTAGAGCATTTTATCATTCATATTTAATAAGGAACTTATCTTCTTGAAATTTTATTCAGATCACACCCACTGGGAAGTCAGTCCCTGAAGAACACAGTGGAGATTCTTGTCCTGCTTATGAAGCATCCCTGTTTCACACACACAGGGACATCCTTCAAATGCAGCTGTGTCCCTGAGAATTGTGGCATAGTGCAGCTCTGTACTCAACCAGAGACAGATTCAGAGGCAAATTTTCAGAGAGACAGTGCTAGAAAAGCAACTTCCTTACTTCAGTTCTTAAATTCTGTGATCACTGGAGGCTCTGTCTTTGGTCACAACTAAAGATGACAGATGGCTTAAACTTGAGGATGAGATGTCTCAGTAAGTATATATTTTATTTCATTTGTTAAAAATGAATAACTGAAAATAATAACTAAAATTAAGCCAGATGTGGAGGCTCAGGCCTGTCATGCAAGCACTATAGAATAGTGATGTTCCCTTTTGGGAAAGTCATAAAGATAACATATGGTGGCTAGTTTAGATCCCTTTACTGACCCTACTCTCTCTCTCTCTATTTATGTACTTCAATCATCTTAATCATGTTCAAATGTTTACATTTTCCAGCATCCTTCATTTGTTTACTTATTTATTTATATTTCAGTTTTCTCAAATAAGAGAGAGCATAAAATATTTAATAGTCTGAGTCTGGCTGTTTTGCTTAATATGATGTTGCTCAGTTCCATCTACTTTCCTGCCACTGACAAAATCCCATTCTTCTTTGCCACTGAATGACATTTCTTTGTTGTGTATGAGGTGCATTTTTATCCATTTATCTCCTCATAGACCTCTCAGCCAGTTGCACAGCAGTTTTGAATGAATGGTGGGCATCCTTGCATGCTGTTTAATTATTTCAGCAGTAGAATAAGGAATGACACGTGTGGATCAAATGGCAGCTCTACTCCATTTTCTGTTTTTGAGGAATCTGCCTACTGCTTTCCCTGGCTGTTGCACTCCTGTGCCCTCCCACTGCAGCTGTGGCATTCCTGTTCTCCCCACATCCCCACCAATGCGGCACTGCTCTCTGTGTTCTTGGTGGCCGGCATTCTGGCTGGGGTGAGATGTAATCTCTATGCGGCCTAGATTTGCATTTCCCCAGTGGCTAAAGATATTTAAACACAGTTTTTACCTACTTATTGGCCATTTGTGTTTCTTCCTTTCAAAAGTGTCTATTTAATTCATTTTCCCATTTTCAATTGAATTATTTTTAAGGGGGTTAATATTTTATTTTTTAAAATACCCTAGATATTAATTCTCTATCAGAAGAATGGAAACCAAAGACATTTTTTCATTTTGACTTTACACAAACTGACATCTGGTTTTCTAGCACTGTTATTTGAGAGGCTGCCTTTTCTCTAACTTCATTTGATAGTTCAACAAATGAATATCTCCCTGCTTTTTCTCCTAGCTTGTATTCGTATCTCCTTATTTTTCTGCTTATCTTGCTTCTCCTATGAAATGCATTCCTTTTAACTGTGTTTACTTGTTTTAAAACTAAAAGATCTGATTCCTGGCTCCCAGTTCCTCAGGTAATGAACTCGAAATTTTACATGTTATCTTAATAAGCAAATGAAAAAATCAACAAGTTTTATTCATAAGAGAACTAAGGCTAGTGAAACCTGTTTTACCTAATCTTGAATAGACTGATAGATGAATCCAGAAGAAAAATGATTCAAAATTCTTTAAAAAGAAGAGTGCGTGGGTAGGAAATTATGAACTTAATTCCTGAGGTTCTGCATAGACATCTGATAATTACAAACATCTCTGGGAAGACCTAGTAATGGCGATTTTACCTATTTTTTGACCATTTGCCTCTAGAAATGGCTAGATTCTTACAGTAATCTTGAAATATATCAAAGCTCAATGTTCTTATTGAGAAGAAAACTTATTTCATTAAAAAAAGTTGATCAAGACTCAGAGTTTAATAGTTTTTAATTAAGCTGGAATGAAAGAAAGTATCTTTTAGCCTTGTGTGTGGGAGAAAAGAAATATCCACTTTAGTAATACTTAATTCTCTTATACATAAATAAATATTTCTGCTAAATATATATATATATTATAGACATAAATTATGCCTCCTAAATTTATATTTAGTTATATAATATTACTTGTCAAGAGTATCTTTTGCTCTATTATTAGTAGGAGCAGCTTAACTGAAGTCCTTATTTCATATGTTACTGAAATATTTCTTCTGAGAGTTTTATAGTGGATATTTAAATATTTTCATAGTGTACATTGGCATAATCTTTTCCTTTATGCATGTTTATAATATATTTTTTCCAATAGGATTTCAAAAGTATTTAGCATGCAAATGTCCAGCCTGGAAAAATCATCTTACTGATGTTATACTTCTATTACACTGAAAATGTTAATTAAGTTGGAGAAAAATCACAAAAAGACAGTGTTTAATTTATCCAAGAATATTATGTGTATTTATATATTTTCAAGAGGTATACTCTCTATTTTGTTAAAGCTCAATATTTTATTTTTATTGGTACTGGATATTTATTCTTAATAGAACATTTCTGCATCAATCTGTACAGGAAGGATCACCTCACATATTTTATTGTAAAATGATTATGACAAAATGGCATTTTATTCAAAACTGAGATTTCTCCACAAAAATGTAGCTCAGGCTGTCTGTTTCAAAGCTTGGTGTACAAGTATCAACTCTGAATAAGACACTTTTTCTCACCATCTTTTATAATAGAATATTCAGTCCAAATCTTACTGATTTCATGTATAGTATTTAGTCATGAAAGATAAGCTGCTTTATCTGATTCTAGCTGAATGGAATTTCTTCTTTACAAGTGTTTTCGTAAATATAAACAATGAATCTGCTTTTATTTAGTCCTCAAACTAAAACAAACATGCATAGGAACACAGCATCTGGGCTGCCCTGTCCTGTACCAACTGATGCGGAAATGCTATTCTATTGCACTTGATAAAGAAAAATATTTTATTATACTGGAAAATATCTAAAACTTAGGTGCTAAAAAACTTGTAGTTTCTGAAAAGAATGAAACAGTGGGTATGAGACACTCATGCCAGGTTCTTCCAGAAATTCTCTTTGTGCCATGAGGCAAATCACTTTAACACTGCAGACTCTGAAAGTCTGCCTTAGTGACCAGAGCTGGAGGCCTGTGCCACATACCAGGGTTTCGAAGATACTCAGCCTCACTCTCAGCCCTGCAGGGTGCTGCAGAGGAACCAGGTTTGGCAGCTTTGACCTTCATTTCCAAGGTAAGAATCATTTTTCAGTTATTGATCCTGACCCAAGTCGGGGCAACAGTCACTCTTGAGAATTTTGCTGGGCTTACCGAAAAGGACAAATCTTTTTCCTGCTGATGTTTTGAAGGAAATGTGGTTTTACCTTAAGTTTGACCAGCACCACTGTCACAGTGTAAGAATCTGGCTGAGTGCAAACCCGAGAGAGAGAAGACTGTAAGAGAGAAGTGATTCACAAAGAATAGCGTGCGTAAAATCTCATCTCTTACACGGTCCTTCCCGCCAATGGAACCTCCTACAATGCAGTCACTGTACACAGTTCCACCAGCAGCATTGAAGAAACAATGTTAATTCCTACATGATAATATTTTGGTTAATGCTTTAATTCATGTCAATGCACAAAATTAAAATGAAACAAGGAAGATATTTGTAAAATATAAACTGTTTATCACAGCTATAAATGATGTTTTCACAGAATCACCTACAAATTTAAAATAATAGAAGAATATTTCCTAAATTTCTTTGTTGTTACTTGAAGTGAATAAAGATATAATGCTCTTCAGTATAATCAGCAAAATTAATATTTTCTTCATCATTCTATACATAACAGTGAACAAGAGGTAGTTTTAATATTTACAATTTCTTATGTTGTAATTGGGTGCAGTACAGATTTACCTGCCAACAAGACATCTCTGAGCATTTCAACCTGGAACCTGCCATGTTTTCATCATTAAAATATGGCGGATTTAAATAATTCAAGGAAAAATGATTCTACTAATTGTAACAAAACAACTTACAATTATGTTACTTTAGTATACACTATCTTTCCTTAGTATAACTCATTTAATTCCAAGCTTAAACGATTCCATTTTTAAAACAGCTATTTTTAAATTTAAGAACTTCCTGACAACTTGAAAATTTAAGAGTTTTCAACATGAAAAGGATCTTTTGTGAGTTTGAGTTCCTGTACTTAGAAATGTATACTTTTGTGTGTCTATATAATTTGTTCAAAGTTAAAATTTTGACTTAAGGAAAAATTCAGGGGCTGGGTGTCTAGCTCAGCAGTGTAAGCGCCTGCCTGGCAAGCGCAAGGTTGTAAGGCCGATTCCTGATACAAAGACAAAAAAGAAAAAGAGGGAAAATTCATTTGATATTTGTAAACTGCTGAATGTATTCAATCTCCACATAAACTCCTTATTTTAAAATAGGACTGATAATTGGTGAATATGTGTTATAGAATTAAACTAAGCGCTAAATGAAACCCATGACGCCCTTAGTATCCTTTATGGGATATTCCTCAATGCTATCTATCATTATTGTAAGTGTCAATTTAGATCCCAGAGTTCAGATTCTTCGCTCTTATAATTCCCCCTCTTCATTTGCTCACAGATTGCTCTTGGAAAAAGTTTTACCTATTAACTTGTCTGCATAAAGTAGTGTTCACTTAATAAATGCAGTGACAGGCAATCTAAAACTTGCCTTTGCCCAGCTGAACTCACTTTAGTGTTGTGAATCTCCAATCAACTTTGCAAACCAAAATTTGGATAATCCTTAGGATGTCCAAAGTACTTCCACTCATGGATTATTAGATTGTGCACTGTTGTTAAATGTGACAATTTCCACAAAGATTTTGTCAGCAAATGGAGGAGTTTTTGAGTCGTGAAACAAACTGACCATTCCAGGAAGAGGAACTAAACAGACTCTCTGCTGTGCTTCTAAGTATAAATTAGAATGTAAGTATTGTACTTTCTTTTTCAATGTAAGTCCACAATATCACTGTGCTCTGGAGCATTGGTTGGACTGGAATTAGGTAGATCTATTCAGCACAGAGAGTTGCTGGGAAATGCAGCCTGCTTCTCCACATGTGCTAATAATAGGCTGAAATGATTCGAAAGGAGATCTTTCACTGAATGCCATTTCACTTCAAGTTTTAGTTAAACTGGAAGAGGTTGTTTCATGCATGCATCATTTTCTCAAATGTAATTTTTAAATAAATGTGTCCATATTACTTCCCCCAAAGTGATTATCAAACTTTTTTTTTTTTTTGTTTCTCGGTACCAGGGTTTGAACACATGACACAGCGCGTGCAAGGCAGGCGCTTATGCTGCTGAGATAAATCACCAGCCCCATGACTGTCAGGCTTTTGAAAATCAGCTTAGATATGGATGCTTGAAACACAGTCCAGTATTAAATCATTGAATGCATTTTTATCAAATCATATCTGGAATGATATGTATAGTCTTAATTTTCAAAAGGATACCTTTGGCTGGTTTTTAAGACCTCACATACAAATACTCCTAGACTCATCTGTGGGGGAGTGCAGTGACTAAGGTTCCTGAATCTGACATGATCCCAAGCCACTAGCCACAGGCTATTCCCTTTCAAGTCATTTTCTGCAGCTGCAGTGTGGAATTATTTATAAATAATTTTTCTTCACAAATTGAAGCACACTGCATACAGAATGTATTTATTCAGCAGTCAAACCAGGGGGGAAGAAATGGTAGGTTATGTTAAAGGGAAATAAAAGGTGGAATAATCATAGTTATGGTCAGGTAATTGCAAGGGCAATGACCTTGCTAAGGCAGCAATTTTCCAGGAGCACAATATTGTTTTTCCACCTTATAAACTATACAGAGTATACTAATATAAAAGTATACTATACCAATATAAGCCAATTTTTTTTTTAAAAATGCTTGACACAGGTTTTCAATGGTCATGAGGCAAAACTCTAATGAAAAAGTGAAAATACAATAAACTTTTTATTGATAAGTGGAAAAGTAGGAGAAAGGCACAGTAGAACAGAAGTAGATTTTCAGAGTAAAGCATCAGCAAATGGTCTGACAAAAGAATCCCAAACTTTAGAATCGATCCTGTTGTAATAGCAAGAAAATCTGCCAGTTTGAGGAGACAGCACTGATACTCAGAAATAAAAAAGCTATTCAGTGGACAGGTGGGCTTCATCACAAAGTGACTATAGAGAACAATGCCTTCCCCAGTGTATTACTGAAAATAATGGCCCCATGGGCAGGAGGTCCGCCTAGGTGCACTTGGAAATTTTGGTAAGTCTGTTTATTTTTTTCAAATTATTCAGTTTTCTTCCTTCCTTTACTGAAATGCTACTCAGCCTATTGGGGTAGCCCCATACCTTGCTGTACATAAAGGAAATCTATCAGATGTAAATTGAAGACACTTTTATAACCTGCCAAAGAGTTTAGGCTCCTGTTTCACAATGTAACTGTATCTATGAGAAATAAAATGTCTTCTTGGCTGTCACTTACCCTTTGACTCAAGGACTAGATTCAACACATGCTGAACACACATGAAAGAAACTTACAGCTGATATACATGACAGAAACAAACCATAAAATATGCAGCTAGAAACATTCAACAAATCAAACCTTATCTGTGTCAAGGGTTACCCAGTGGATATATACTTGTGATAATAAAATACAATGTTTTACTTTGTGACAGAGTTTTACTGGACTTTTTAAAGAGTTGTTTACAGTAGCATTACCATATCTATACCCAAATTTACATATGAAATATATGACAATAGAGCTTGAGACCAGATGGTGAGAGGAAGCAAATTGTTAACAAAATGACTGTTCTATAAATTAACTACACATAAAAAAGTCAGATGATTCAAAATGTATTACTAACTACATTGAAAAAACATGCATAGGGTTGTTCAAGAAGAAAAATTAATAATATAAGATTACCATTACACTTGTACACAAGGATGAGATTAAACATTTCAGAACTAAAAAGGAATAGGCAATGTTTAACCTAAGTAGGTGCAGTAACTTCCGTGTGTTTGACCATGAAAACTCATATAACTCTAATGGTATAAACCAATAAATGCCCACTCTGTTTCCATATTCTTTAGCACTCTGTGGAATAGACATGCACATTTCTTCATGTCGGTAAACAATGAAAATATCAGGATCTCCACGTGCCTGCGGCCATAGCAAGAGGTCAGCCAGTGGACATCCCAGTAAGAGATCAACCACCAATGGGCTTAAGATTAGCCCAAGAGGCCACAGACCATGCTGTCCACTCTTGGTCCAAAAACCAGTGTCACCAAATGACGGACCCCAACATGAGTCCAGGCTGACTTCAGGTCAGTGGCTGAGCCAATAGGTGGACCTCAAGAGCAAGTCTACCACATATGGACCACAGTAGCAGGATAACCCAACTGCACCCAGCTGCAGTCAACACCTACAAACACTGCTGGGATGATCGCCTTTAGATACCTCGAGTTTACTCATAGAGAATTGCTGCTCAGAGCATAGTGAAAGCCTGTCCCTATCGAAATGCTGGTAAAGAGCTAAGGAAAAGGCTGCTTTTCACGTGTACAGAAACACACGCAAAGCCCTGTGCCACGAAGACTGAGAAAACATGACTGTACCAGGGAAACTAGCACAGCCCACTGTGGGCAGAAAGCAAGAGAAGCTATAGTAGCATAGTGAATATATATATGAAATAAAATATGAAATGAAAATATATATATATTACATAGTGAATATATATATATATATATATATATATATATATATATATTACTGAGCCGTACTAAGTTGAGTCATTTGCAGTGAAACAGATGCATCTTACATTGATAATATCAAGTGAGACAACAAAAATATAAAGAACTAAAAGAAAAAACAGAGAGGCATGGTAAGAAGCAGGAAGATAGACGCTACGGGAATGGTAAAGGAATAGGAAGGAAGGAGAGGGGAAGGTGCGGGTAGCAGGGGGAGTAACAGTGACCGAACTACGTTACCTAGGCTGAATGTAATCACTGTGTGTCATTCACATCTATAAATAAATAAATGAATGAAATGAAGCAAATGACTAAATGACCTGCAGTGAATTATAATTCATTCTGTCTCTGACCAGTTCCCAGAATCCTTCCAAAGAGCTGCATTCTTCTAATATGGGAAGCGCTCTCAGAGAACAGCAGCATTGCCTTCTAGTGCTAATAGACTCCGGGAGCCATCATATCAGAGCACTGCCACACAGGTAAAAATTCTGCAACACACATGTGGACACCTACGATAGTAGCACTTTCAAGGGGAAAGGAAACCCACACTGGGCGCAGAGTAATTCTGATTAGTACACTGGGTAAGAAAACAGAAGCCAAGGATGGAAATCAAATTCCAGTGTGAGTTTAGGAGGGGAGATTTAGATCTTGGCCAGCGACTTTGCGGAGCAAATTTGTAGTAAGTGGAACAGAAGAAGATCATGACATCCAGAGAGACGGTGTGTGGTCACACCAGGCAGGGTTATGGCATTTGCAGAAAGGCTGGGAGGTCACAGAAAGGCCTGAACAGGACAATGAATTTCACTGACTGGCAGAGGTTTTCCTGACTTGTATGTACATTTCCACTGCTTCTATTTACATCCTCATTGAGCTGGAAAGCTTGAAATTCCCTAGTTCCTTTATACTTAGGCTTCTGGATAGGAACTTCACAAATGAGATGCATGACCACGACTGGGGAAAAAAATTCAGCAGTTCATACTTTTACTGTAAATTATTTTTATCTTCTGATTAAAATATATGTTTTTACAGATTGACATACTATTTAAGAGTGAAAGGAGTTGGATGAGAAATGATTTCATATATGAAAATACATAATGATGGATTTTTGATGAGTTTGAAAATTATGATGATCTTATTCCTATTAAAATGTGTCAAATGAAATGAGTTATTGATATCATAAAATGCCAAAATTATTAAATAATTTATTTCAAGCACTTGGAATACAACTTGGATAAAGACCTAGACACCAATAATAGAATACCACATGGTAAATGCCAGTATAAATGTGGGCTGTGTGGAGCTGTGGACACTTGATTCTGACTGCATTGGAAACATAAGTGCAAGAAGAGAAATGAAAAAAAACTTTAATTTTCTGGTCCAGGCATGGAGAGATGACTATGGATTTTGTATAATTAACATTCAATTTTGAATATTGTGTTGCCAAGAATTTTAAAATATTTGTTGAAACTTTGATGTAGCTGAAAATGAGATAAAAGAGTAATACAGGTCTATAGCTTTAAATCTTACAATGTTAGTAAAATTAATAGCTGACTTCTGGGAACTGTTCTGTAAGTGATAGAGATTTAAAAGAAAAGAGTATCTATAAAATTTAATATAGAACTCCTTAGGTGAGTTCTAGATATCATCCATCACCTAATTCACTAACATTCCCTTTGACATGCAGAAGGTAATTCTAATTTTGCAATTCAGCTAAGTGTTCACTTCATTCATGTACAGTTCTCTCACTCAGAGTGCAGAGCCAGGTAGAGAAAGCAGTACTGTTCCTAACGGGATTGCTGTCTATTCTTGTCTCTAGATTGGAACTGGATTCAGATCCCAGGACCACTCGTGGTGTAAGATCAGAACCTCTTTTAGAAGTGGTAGAACAGTGATGAACACTGTTACTTCTTATCAGTGTACCAAAGCAACAAGATGTCATTAATGTAATAGGAAATTTAATACTCTGTATGTTCATCTACTTGTGTTCTGTGGTATCTTAATTATAGTCATCGTGGAAGTCCTTGTTTAGCCTGGCACAGAAAGTAATTGCAGACCGAAAGTAATTGTGGTGCATCCAGAGACACAGGATAATTGTTCAGTTTGTCTCTGCCTAACACTGGGGATTTTCATGTATTAATTCAGTATCTAATTGCCATACTTCTTGAGGCATGTGCGAGTGAAGGATGCTTAGGCACGATGCCAAGTGTAATCTCATGGAAAGAGAGGATACTATTGAGGTCATAATATCTGCAATCACTTTGGGATAAAACCAGACTAACAGGTTCTAAATGTAAATGTATGCAGACGATTTTCATTAATTTATCTCATTGAAAAATAAAAAAGGTAATATCAATACCCTTGCTATTACATCTTAATTTCTAAACAACAACTCAGCACCTACAAAGACAAGATATTAACAGCTAATTTATGTTCCCATCTTTTCTATTTGAACCACCTCTAAGAAATATTTTGTTATACTAGGCAAGCAAAGTGATTATATTTTAAGATTATATATTTAAGATTATTTTACAAAGTGAATCTGGAAAAGAAAATAAACTCAAGAAGTTATGAGGCTTTTCCCACCTTTATCAGATTGTAGCTGAGAGGCAAAACCATTAAAGTCAAAAAGTAACAAATTAAGTGTTTGAAATTTCACTGCTGTGAACTCACCATAGTGAGATGTCAGCCGAAATGGCTGACATTGGCACCACTTAATCTTTTTATAGAGAAGCAGGCAGGTAATTAAGACATTGTCAGATCTCAGATCAATAGGGAGTAGTAATCATGGATGGAGCACCGTCTGCCCCATCAAAGAAAGCTTAATGACAATGAGGTTATTATAGTGTAAGAATGAAATATAGCTTGCATCATTAGCTCAAGCCACATACTGTGACTTGTAGGAACTTAATGCAGATGGGTATCATCTCTTCTGTGTTTCCAATGGTTTCTAGAAATAACATCCTTATTGGTAATACATGTTGATTACAGCCACCCAGTCATAAGTCACAAAGTGGGTGTGCAGATCGGAATACAGGGAGAGGAAAGAGAGCAAAGAAGATGTACAAAATTCGGTTTCTGTTAACTCATAGACATGTGATGTTGGCTTGGAACACGTTTTAGCTGTCTATGCCTTTGGTCTCCTAAATCTAAACTAAATGAGATAAATTTGTAAGAGAACTACCAGTGAGGATATATCACACAGACTCACCATGGTGTTCTGAGCGTGTAATGAGGAATCAATAGTATTCTGGTGACAGAATACTAGCTATAATTATTTTCATTTTTTAAATGGAGCATCCTATTCTTATACACATTTTGCAAATCTTCATCTTGCTGGTAAACTTCCAAAAAAAGGAAATGATTGACGTTTAAAAATACAATATATTATATTTAATGTACTACGAATTGGTTGACAAGAAAAATTTTTAGCAAGACACTGTACTTCTCAACTTACTGTAAAATCCATTATTTTCTCCAAATAGCCTTACGTTAGCCCTTCAGTAAAATGGATAGAGAATGGAAAAATTGTAGATGAAATGACATAGGACAAGGACACAGAAGAGAAAATATTCTGATTTAAATCAAAGATTCATAGAATCTGCAGGAAGTCAGCAGAGCCATGGCGAACAGTGAGAAAACTTGTGATTGAAATCTCAGACCAGTGATTCCAGTCAGTACCCACCTGGAGCAAGCAGGGAATCCCTTGGAGAGCCATGTCACAGGAGGCCCTGGAGCAGAAGGAAGTGAGCCAGCAGAAGAGGGGGCGATCTTTGGGGATCTCGGGATCCCGGTGTAAGAGAGCGCAGGACTAATGAACTTAGTCTTGCATCTGTTGTTTTAATCACTTCAGCTATTCCAGTTACAATGTTTATCACAGAGATCTTAAAGATGTTACTTTGAAAGTACTATTTTGATTTTGAAAGCAAAATTACTTTTAGCATAACTTTATTATTAAGATCTGCAAAATCTGACCAGTGATATAGCTCAGTGGCATAGCACTTTCCTGACCAGCTCAAGATCCTGAATTTGATTCCCAGTATATAAAAGAAAAAATCTGTGAAACACTAGGTTTTGTTTTTTGTTTTTTACTGAATTCCAGGTTAGATATGTTTTCTTATTTTCTCACAGGCATGGAAAAACTCATGGCTAACAGTGGAACATATACAACAGGTGATCCAAGTCTGAGGGCTTTTTTTGGTGTCTTACACAACTACTATGCTGCCAGTCACTATTTTATTATCCCTATTATAATCTGTGAGAAGATGGTGCTGTTATTTCGTTGTCTCACTTCTGAATGTGATGAAACAAACTTTTTCAGTTCCAATCTTCACTTCTGCTGTACATTAGATATTAATTTCCCCTCAAATATCCACAGGGAGTAAGGTTTCAAGCTATGGCCCTGCAGCAGGGAAATACCAAGTCATTTGCAAAGGCAAAGCCTTCTGAGTAACAGCAGGTATCTCAGTGGAAGCTCTAAAGACCAGGCATAATATATGTGAGGATTAAAAAGCTACTGCACATCGGATTGCCATCTTCAGCAGTGCTGTTCTTAAGAATCACAGAGAAATAAAGAACTTCTGATATAAACTTCAGGTAGAAGAATGCATGACCACCAACCCAGCCCAGGGGAAATTTTAGAGGAGCATGAAATGCAGAAGAAGAAGATCAGTCAAACAAAAGTGGGAAAGGTCCAAGAATAATTTCAGACACCTCGATAACAATTCTGATTTCAGTGCTCTTTATTCTCCAATGAAAAGTCACAGAATAGCAAATGGGATTTAAAATAATTCTATGTCGCATGCAAGAGCCACGTCATCCACAAAAACATACACTGTGAAACGGAAATTACAGACAATGAGAGTCCATACAAATGGAATTCAAAAACAAGCAAAAGTAGCTATACTCATAGCAGAAAAAGCAGAAATATCACAAAAATGAGTAAGAAGATAAAAAAGTTAAAATATAAGATTATAGGAAAACTACACCAAAGTGATTTAAAGCTAAAAAAAATCAACCAAGCACTGATGCAATCAATTTCACCAAAACAAAACCAACAACCAAACAAACAAAAACCACTGCTACACATAAAAAGCTAAGTGGGCAGTAATGAAACTTTATTGTTGATTAATTGCCCCATTTGTATAAATAACCATGTAACGAGGGGAAAATTTCAAGAAGAAAATATCAGAAACAAATGGTAAATCAAATGTATTTAGCAGATATCTAGTGGATATCTGCAGAATGTTGCAGCCAACAATAATGGAACACATGTTCTTTTCAGCAACTTAAGGCATATTCTACAAAATAGACCATATTGTGGGTGCTAAAGTAAAATTTGAAAAATTCAAAAATTTTAGGCTCACCCATGTATTTTTTCAGTTTGCAATGAAAATTAGAAAGCAAGAGCTAAAGAAACCATAGAAACTGTACAAACATATAGGAAGTGATTAATATACCACTGAATAATCTTTGGATACCAGAAGAAATTTGAAGCTTCTTAGACTCCAGTGAGAACAGAAACACGCTGTAGCAGGATTTATGTGACACCATGAAGGCAGTACTGCAAGGAAAGTTTGCAGCTCTGACCCCACATTACAAGATCACAGTTACCTCGAACATGGAACATAATGAAAAGGAACAAACCACATCCCAGAAAGTGGCAGGAGATAATATCATTAGTAATAATAAATGCTGGTGAGGCTGTAGGAAAAAGTGAATTGGTGAGAACCAAAGTCTCACGGGTCAACATGCATATCTGCATGGAGATTGCTCAAAATATTTTTACAAATGTGGCTATTGTTTGATACACATACACCACTTCTTGGTACACTCCCAAATCAACTGCAATCAAGAAATGCTAGAGATACATGCACATGCACATACACTAAAGCCCAACTCACAGTAACTGGGCTGTGAAAGCAGCCTAGATTCTTGTCCACAAATCTGTGGATAAATTAAATGTGGTTTACACAGGTAATTATCATTCTCACATAAAGAGTAAATTACATCATCTGCAGTACAGTGGCTGTAATCTGAGATCACTATAGTATGTGGAAAAAAAACCTCAGAAAGATAAATATCACACATTTTCTCTCAAGGGACAGGGGGCGAGGGAGGGAGAGAGACATCCAAATAGACAGACAGGTGGAGAGAAACAATACAAGACGCACAAAGAAAACCACAGAGAGAAACCAGGACAGGAGAGAGAAACCAGAGAGAAAGAAAGAGAGAGAGAGAGGGAGAGAGAGAGAGAATGTGAGAGAGAGAGAGAGACAGAGACAGAGACAGAGACAGAGAGACAAAGAGAGATAGAGAGACAGAGGAAGAGACACAGAGACGGAGAGAGACAGAAAGAGACAGAGAGCGAGAGACAGAGACAGAGGCAGAGACACAGAGACAGAGAGAGAGAGGGAGGGAGAGAGAGAGAAGATAAGAAGTTGGATCACTAGAGAAAATGAATGGAATGATAGGGAAGGCAAAAGTAGAAAATGGGTAATAGAATTTACCAAAATATATTAGGTGCATGCATGAATCTGTCAAAATGTGGCTAATTAGTGCACATAATCAATTTGCATTTAAAATCCAGAAATTTCTGAGTTATCTGAAGGATAGCATCATACTCAAATCTCTTTGTGCTGTCAATAACTATAATCACGGTTTTTCCTGTGTAGCAGTCCCAAATAAAGACTGCAATCAGGCTTCAAAGGGGCAGTTCCTTATCAGACCTCATCAAAGCCATTCTGGAAGGAAGAGATCAGATTATAAGCATGATTGCTACCCCCAGTGTCTATCTTTAGCATCTGCGTTTGATAGCTTCTCATGCACTGACTGAAGGAGAAAGTTCACCTCTAAATTACTAAGTCAGCTTTCCCCAGGTTCACCTTCAGATTCACAGATTCATCAGTTCACATCAGGAGCCTCCAGGACTCTCCATGTAGTCCTAGCCATGCTTTATTTATTATGGTTAAGGAACATCAAACAAAATCAGACAAAGGATGGCACAGGAGGTGGCCAAAGCTTAGGAGAGTCCTAACAGCCTCTGTCAGTGGAATGATGATAGAATGCATTTAACCCCTCCCGCAGTGGGCTGTGAAATGCTGTGACATGTCACCTAACAAGGAAGCTTCCTAGAGACTCAGTGTACAGCATCTATGCCAGGATCAGGGCCTCCACATAAATCCTTGGATTAGTACATTGCAGGAATTCAGACACCTAGAAGGAGAACAGGTGCTAGACGTAAACTACAATGTCTGTAAGAATTTTTAGGCAGAAGGCACTGCTCTAACCATCTCAGATGTGGAAACCGAAGTCCCAGTTTCCAGATGCCAGCCCTTCA